ATTTTGTTTCTATGAAAATATTTTCTAAGCTTATGATACTAAATCTGATTTTATGATATCTCAGTAGTTTTCAACCCTGTGATTGATTGTCCTGCCCACCACATATTAGTAATAGTATTTTCTCACTTTAATAACACACTGATTAGCACTGCGCAAACCGCATGATTAAATCATCATATGCTTGCCTCAGACCTTGTGAAGTGGTTAAGTAATATCAAGGATACTTGTGTGGTTTCTACATAAGATACTGTAAAAGATACTGATGTCTAAAAAAATAAATAAAAGTAATCAGAATTCTAGATAGCTGTTACTACTGTGCTATCGCTATTATGTTTATGGTACATGTCCATTTTTGTAGATAACGGTATGGTATGTGTTGTCAAAACCATAAAGTGAGTCTATTTGAGACTACTTAACAAGTGTGTGTTGATTTATGATTGCAGTTTACACAATGCTAATTGTTGGCTATAAGCCTGCATACTTGTTAGCTACATTTGCCTCATAGCTGAAGTACAAAACTAAAGAAAGAAACCTCAGACTTGTTGACTATATTTGAGATAAAGGAAAAATGTGTTAAATTGACTGAATGATTCCATTAACCCCTTAACATACATACAAAGGCTCACAAATGGACAAATGGAGCTATTCTTAGGTTATAGAATTGTGTAATAAAACGTTGGGCCTGCCGTCAGGCCCATGGCTTGTTAAGGGGTTAACAACAGCATGGCATTAGCATAGGTAGGAGAAATGATTGTAATGTTCACTACACTCTTAGGAAAAGGGATTCTATATAGTAGCAAAAAGTGTTCTTTGGCTTATAACAATAATGGAAGCCTTTTTTGGTGCTATATAGAACTTTTTTTAAAAAAGATTCTACATAGAACCATCTACAACAGATTTTCCATTGATCTGAAGAACACTTTCAGGATGCAAAGAACCTTTAAATGATGTAAAGGGTTATTTGAGTGTTCATGGTTCTATATAGAATCATTTTCTTGACTAAAGAACCCTTAAAGAACCATTTTTAAGAGTGTATGCTGCATTAATAAAGTAGCATGTTACGCTGCTGCTAGCAAACTGCCACAATGTTGTTATTGTGGCCCCTGAGGCCTACTCATGTAGCAATGATAAACTGGTGTTTTCACATTGTAACTGACTGCCATGAGTGGCTGTCAGTGAGTGTGATGCGATATGCATTCAGCCTGACAGACTTCTGAAGGATTTAATGAAGTTATAAGTGCTATCCATGCCCATTTTGCTTTCTCCTCACCACTGCTGACCAAACCAACATGGCAGAGCTTTTGTTTACATGATGAGGACTTAATTGGAATAGATAGATCTACAGCAGATGTAGAGCAAAGTGCCTGCAAGACTGCATTCATGTTAATGTTAAAAATGGAATAGCAATACCCTGGTGATGCTCAAAAGAATATGTTTATGAATCCATAAATGTTCAATTAAACAGCTGATCAAACCATTATACCTTGTGTATTTTCATTTTACTTAACAGCAAAGCTAATAGTACAGCTAATATGCAAAGGTCTAAATGTACAACAAGCGTTTTTTTCATTTATTTTACAATAAAACAATAGAGGCCATATCTCCCTCCTACCGTTCTTGTAGTTTACTACAATCTGTCAGAATGACTATGAATGTGTCATATTATAGAGCGCTAAATTATTTAGTAACCACTACTAATTAGTCATGATCCACAATAATTATTCAGTAATTGCTATGGATTGTTCAGTAACTACTACGAATTATTTAAAAACTACTACAAATTATTCAGTAACTACAAGAATGTTTCAGTACCAACCATGGATTATTCAGTAACTACTATGAATTATTCAGTAAGTATTATGAATCATTCAGCTATGTATAAGTCTATGTAACAATGTTTTACAGTTCAATCTTGAAACTATGAACTTCACGTAAATATTTGTCCAGATTAAAACGAAACTGCCATTCCAGTAGTGGGTTATATTCTTTTAAAAAATATTTTTCTGGGTTAGTCTAATTAGAATTAAAAAGTAGAATAAGAATTATAGCACACATAGGCATATAGACAAAGTATAAGGTGTACACAGTGGTATATGAGACACTGTTTGCCAGTGGGTCAGTAAGACATATGAGAGCCTCTGTGTGTGTGCGTATGTGTGTCTGGCCCTGAGCACGCTAGCGTATCTAAAGAAATGCCTGGGAAGCCAGCAGCTGCTCTAATTGAGTATTTTAGGACAGTCTGCGAGTGCATGCATCTTGGATGCTTCCTCCATGGCCTCTTTTCACCATCAGTCCTATATTTCCACAGCACATTACAGTGGAAACTGAACAAAATCCTCATGTAATTCCATTGGTTTGTGCATTTGTACACTCTTTAATTAAACATGAACATAGCATGAATGATAGTAGGCCAAATATTACCTATAACATTTCATATATCACTGTTATAGTAATACAGCTGAATGGTGATGCTTTCATGCAGAGTCAGTGTGATTATAAATAATGTAAAGATAACATGAATCATTTAGCCACTTGTATATAATTTGTCTTTTCATAGGCAAGGTTTCAGTTTTGAACAGGAAAAGGGGGGAAGCCCCCCGTTTAGCTTTACAGTTCATTAACTGTAAAGTTAACTGTATCTGTGTGTGAATTTAGAGCATACAGGATGATGATGCATAAACTTAGACACAGTCAGAGGGAATAAACTGAAACAGCAGACAATTCTGTTTTGTAGCACAATTTTGTCTATATAGCACTTTTTTCCTCTCTGCATAGGCAAAGCTCTTCTTGTGAATCTTGCATCAATTTGGCATTTTACAGAATCTATAATATATCATAGCTGTCAGAAAGAAAACAAAAACAAAACTTGTATCTCTTTTTTTCAAGTAAAAATGCCAGTTGACTTTTATACTGTATTATAATTTCTTCATGAATGGACCAATAGAAACACTCAAAACTTAATTAGAAAAAATCTTCCCCAAGTTATACTGATAGAGTATAAAAGAATGAATGGCCTAATGTATCATTTTTAGATGACTAAACTACAGATAGTATATGCAAAGACCTGAAAAAGCGTCTTGCTGCCATATTGTTGACATTCCGTCAGCATAACGTGTACGAACTGTGTCGTCAAAATCAAGATATCAAGAAAAAGTCAGTTTGATCTGAGTCACTGATCTGTCAAAAAGTCGATCTGTCAGTAAGTTATAACACATCCAGACATCTATATGTACCTTGTAAATACTAGCCTACACATCAAAGGAGATTAAAGCATACAAATCGCTAGAATCATATCATCTGTGGACAGGTCAGGGACGTTCTGACGTTTGTACCATCAGCTACACCATACAATGTCCCAATCATTATGAGATGGGAAAACTGAGTAATACCTACGTATCCATGTCTGATGGGGTTAATTAATGTTAGCTTGGCATTAGCTTAAGTTATGTGAGCCCTGCTAAGATTCTGGTTTTCGATGTCAAGCTAAAGCAGATGAGATCTAGACATAAATATATTGCATAAGTCAATCTTCAATTAGTGTCACTTGAAAATGATCTACAGAATTTAGTTTTTTGTACAGAGTTTGGTTTTTAGTTGCTGTTGGTGCTACAGCCATGAGCCACGCAGCACACCATGGATATGTTTTATTTGTCAGGATGCTTTATTAAGTAATGGTGTATAAACAGTGGCTCTGTAAGAGCTGAAGTCATCATCGCACCAACTGCTGATATTGACAATATGGTGGGGGCGGCAACTATGAAGTCAATTGGATAATATCTGTAGATGGGTCATTCTACAGAACCGTCCATTTTTGTGTCCCTAGCGTTTACAGATATATTACACTTGAAAAACGTTACAATTTTTTACATGTTCAAATAAAACAATGTTATTTTAACAATTACACCTTCTTGATCCATCAATTTAGCAATATTGGTTTTTAAATCAATTATCTAGCATTTCAAGCACCACAGAAGTGCTTGTCCCCACAGTCATGTGTAAAGGGTGAGGCCATATTTCAAAGAAAAAAAACTTTTTCATGCAATTTTAACTACAATAATCTATACATGACTGTGGAATATATAAATTAAATTATATAAAGAGAACAAATGCCAAATAAATGTTATAAAATATATAATGAAAGGTGTGGTCCCCAGGAGTTGTGTCACTGGTGTTACTGCATAACAAAAAATCTCTTATTTTGAATTAAAAATCACACTGATGACATCACTCAACTTCGTTCTACCTATTTTCTGAGGATCTATGAAAAAAGCACATGGTAAGTCCACTGTGTCTTTTCAGTTATCAGAAATGTTCTTATTTAGCTCATGATTTCATATGAAGCTGTTAGTTGACGTCACTGGTGTGACCTACTTTATTCTTAGATAATTGTGAAAAAAAAGAATACAAATGGATTAAATTACATGTTTTAGTGGATATTCCATGATTAACACCAGTGACACCTTTGGATACATTGAAAAGTGGACGTTTCTGTAGAATGACCCAGAGGCTAGAAAGGACACTTTATAAAAAATAATTACAGAAATTAAGCTACAGTTAAAAGAGTGTACTACTGTAATAAAAGAAAGCAAAATTGAGTTAAAGTAAATAAGGAAATTCTCATTCGCAACCTACAAATCTGTAACCTTCTCGGCTTCAGTTTTTTGAAGAAAAAGAAATATGTACAGAGGTTACACTCAACAGAGATTATTGTCTACAGGAGAATAATCCGTGCTCTGCTGCACGTTGCTGTGCGGCTCAGGCTGCATTCCTCAAACTCGCATCCTTTCAGCAGCCTACATTTCCCAGGGTGTGGTCTGAGCGCTACGTCGTTTCTACATGTGCACAGACTTCAGTGGGAAAACACTCTCGGGGCAGTTCCTCACACTATGCCCCGCCCCCTCCCTCACACGATTGGTTGCTTCACCACATGTTCCACGCGCTATTGGTTAAAACGGTTGTCAATCTTTTTTTCAAGCGCTGCTCCGCTTCCTTACCGCTGAGTGAGCTGTTTTGAGGGGAGGGGGGTAGAAACCGGGTTCGGGTTTCGGTTTTTGGGGGAAGGAAAGGGGAAGTAAATAATTCATATGTCTCGTATATCTGACAGAGTGCGACAGGGACCGACAGCTAACGAGCTAACGTCTGTACGGGGAGAATTTCGACCGGGAAAACAAAGCCTTCTTGAAGTTTTCAGCGGCTCCTGCTCACCAGTCCTGCCTTTGTTGACTGTCTGCTCGGCTCACAGCCTCTTGTCTTTTTCAAAGTAGTGAGTAATGGACGTTTGGATTGACATGGGCTACTTGGGATTCACGTAGGAAACAAGACGAGCTCATTCACCTCGCTCGTTATCATGCTGCACCGGAGGGAGGGTTACACTCAGGTCCGCGTCAACAAAGGAGACGTTAATTTAAATTTAAGCGAGACAGTCCAGCGTCCGTTGGATCAATAGCGGCAGTAACGCTCTCTGTCGCCTGGTAGGAAAGGAAGCGAGAATAATTTCATTTAAAAGGACATCATCTGGTATTAGGGTCCCGGAGTTGTGACCAAACTCACAGCTGGAAGATGGCAACAACAAAAGCCAAGGCTGGACTGAACAATGGAGGCAGTCCTTATCGAGAGACCAACGTTAGCAGGACAGAAGCGAGCAGTCCAGCGTTATCTGCTGGAGGAGCAGCGCCCTTATCAGTGGCCAACAATAGCCGGACTTATTCTCTGGATGACTTTGACACGGTGGCCACCGTTGGTAAGTTGGTTTTACCTGTCCACACACCTGAAGTCATGAACCATAAGAAAGCACAACTTTATTACTTGCTCTAGCCCAGGCTTGCTTTGCTTTAAGGAGCCTGTGGCATGACTCAGGACACTGTACTTTATCATTTTACATACTAGTATAAGGAGAAAGTGTGGCCGTATAGACAAGGCCATGTTAAAGGAGCTGTAACCTGAGCTTACCAGGCTGGATGTGAAGGCCCAAACCATCCCTGGAGACTATCAGGTGCACCTGTGGCCTTCCACTAGCTGGCCCCCCAGACACTATTAGATTTCACTCCAGTGGCTTTTTTGAATGGGAGATTTTAAGTCCTATAAGTCTGTTTTCCTACATAGATTTTTAAATTAACCGTGTCACTGTGTTAAAAAATGTCATCTACCATTTACATACATACTGTGAGCATCTTGTGATAAATCAACCAATAGATAAAGTCCAAAATTATTACATTGACATACATTAATATCAAGAAAATTTTTTTTCGCTTTCCTTGGTAAAGTTAACTTTTTGGTGGTGTTTTTATGACCTTTTTGCATATTGGCAGTATATGTATGTAAAGCCGTACACACACACACACACACATCACTAGGTGATGTGAAGCGCCACCACATCTACTCAGACTGGAGTTAAAGCAACATCATTGGACAGCTCAACATGCTTGGAGGAGAACTCTAACTACTAACTCTTTTATGTTAGCTAACAGACACCCGCGTTGGCTCCCACCTCACTGAGTTATATGGGTTGAAATAGGGAATTGCGAGTGTCATACAGACTTTATTGTCTGAGGCTTAAGGCCTATTCACAAATGCACACTGTGTTTTGAAAACAAGCACTTGTGTATTATTATAGTCTTTCACACTGAGTCCAAAACTGCGACTCTGCATAATTTTTTAGGCTGCTAGATTTTCTGCGTTGTATGGATGCGTTAAAAATCAAACTGACCAATCAGAGCTCCGTCATCATGGTTGCAGCTCAAACAAATGTGCATCAAGATGACGCCAACCCAAAAGATCAGAATTTTATACTAAAAGCAACAACAAAACTTTGAAAATGCAGAGGTTAAAGAAAATATATCGTGGACCAGAGCTAAAAGTCAGGAATGACAGCAAGTATGTTACAGTGACTGTGGCCTAGTGGCCATTTTTTTGTCTAGGTGCAGCCTAGTCTGTTCATGCCCTTGAAAAACTGCAAACTATTATCTTTCCTCGATAGTGAACGCTCCTTTTTAATGAGGGGCACAGCAAGCAGAATCTCAGATTCCCCCATTGACATATGAAAGTCGGTCGTTATGCAGCGGTGGAACTCCACATGTTGTCGTCTTGTACACAATTTGTGCCTCATTTAGGTGCAGTGCTTAAAGAAAAAATGTTGAATTCATTCATCACCTACTCAAAAGATCGATTTCTTCTTCCTCTTGTGTCTTCTTGTCACAAATTCAGTTTATAACAAAGTTTACAACAAAAAAACGCATCAGACCTGGTACGAAGGTCCCACTTCGTTAAAAATCTCATCCACTGGTGTACGAAGTGTGAATAAGTTTTTAGCTTTAGCGTTTTTGTTTTTTTATTCATTAGTTAAGTAGTTAGTTTTTCCAGCACATCTAAAGTTAGGATTTCAGAGGTTTTTTTAATGACGTCTTTACTTGTTGAGGATATTTAAGTCCTTTGGGCCCATTTTGCTGTCAACCTGATTGGAAATAAAGATACAAACACAATGTTAATTGTCTACTATATATGATTTGCATGCTCCATTTTAAGTGGGATTTTGCAGGTCGGTTAAGTATTTTCTTTCTATAATATGATGTATAATTTTCTGTTTGCCTAATTTCCTAATACGTAATTTACGGACACAATTGTAACTTGGATTTTAAAGTGATTTGGTCATATGGTTAGATTCCCAAGTTGCTAACTTGTGAGTCTCTACAGTGGGTTTGTGTTGAATATGACATTTTTTCCCACTTTAGACTTCCGCACTGTAACTGCAGCTCCAACACCTTTTAATTAGTTTTATCAAGCACCCTCTCTTTCACTTTCGGAAGTGTTAGGAGAGGTTATTTTGGGTGCATGTGTGTGCATGCATGCTCACTTAAAAATTACAGGCGTGTTCTGGAGCTTCTTCAGCTCGCATTGTTCAACTGTAAGTAGGTCTCCATTTGCTTATGTGTAATTAATGTACTGATCCTTTAATTACTTCTTCACCATAACAATTCAAGCTTGTTCCTTGTTGTCACACTTGTTCCTTAAAGTCATTTGCATTAGCGAATGCTCCCAGAAGTGTTCATGTGTGAGCAAACCGGCTTGTTGACCAACAAGAGGCCATGTAATATCTTTTGAAAAGAATCCGTAATGCACCAGCTGGAATTTCTGAGCCGATAACAATGACCAATAATTAAGTTATTATGGTTAATACTGATACCAAGTTTTTTTAATTTACAATTTCTTTGCAGTTCACTTAGGTGCTGTTGGAACAAAATCTTATATCTCCATTTCTGACACTTTAAGGGTCCATGTAATGGAAAAAACAGATTCTCTATACTTCTTTAAAATAAAAGAGTTGAATGCTGTATGTAAGTATAGTTTCAAGTTTCAGAATGTGCTGTTTAGTCCATACAGTCCATACATGGTAACCAAGCTGCAAATGTTGATTGTGATGTTTTTTGTGATGTCTCGAAAACCAGCACATGTAAATATATCAGCCTGTTTGGTCTACAGCAGTTTAGCTCCACCCACTCACCTTGAAGTTGTAAGCAGTGTTTTAGTCTGGGCTGCTTTTTGAATGAGGGACAATACAGGGGAGCCAATCAGAACAAAGATCTTTCTTCACAGCACAATAAAAAAGACATGTTTAATTAATAAAGAGAGGTTGGAAAATGGTAATGTTGAAATGAATTATGACTGTTTCTGGTACATAAACCCATATAAATGTCAAAGTTGACCTCAGAGAATAAATGAACCAATAGAAATGCCCAAAAATTCTTTGGGAAGGTGGTAGAAGAGAGTCTTATTCCATGAACTTCCATTTAGAGTTAACAAACATGCTGGTTTTTTGGAGATACAAGGTTAACAGCGTCAAATGAAGTGCAAGACTGTAAAATTGTAATTGATGATTGATTAATTTTACACAGCTGTGATATAGTTCAATCAGACATTATATTTTTTGTAAACATTTACATTCATTTTCATAAATATTGTACTTTTTTTTAAAGAAATCATTTAAAAGGTACTCTTATCCAGAGCCGCTTAGAATATTTGAGGAATGTTGCATTAGGGCGAAATAGTAGGATTAGGAGTGTTGCTCAAGGGCTCTTATTAGTGTAATAGTAGCAGTATGTGTGTGTGTGTGCGTGTGTGTATTCTCCTGTAGACATGTGCATAGCTAGTGGATGGAATTGGCTAGATCTCCCCCTGTTAGGCGATTGTGCAGTCTAACACGCTTGGAGGAGATTGCTAACTGCTTCTTTTTTGGCAACTAACAGATGCCTACATTGGCTAGCCATCTAGAGAGAGCCCGGCCAGGTATTTTCAATTACGCATCGCCATGTCTGTATCCTTATGATGGTGATGGAGCTTAGGCAGTTGCTTCAGTTGGGCGTCCTCTTATTAGTACTGAACACCAGTGGTGTTACTGCTCGGATGGAGAATATCCCCTGGCCTCCTGTGTGTTGAGTGGTACTGTTATCCACTGTGACCAACACTAGTGAGAACACATGCACAGTACATGTGTGATTATCAAGGGTGTAACAATATTGAGTATTGAAAATATATTGAACATGAAAATATGTGTGTCATTACACCTCTAGATTATTGATTGTCATTATTGGCTGTAATTCCTATGTCAGACCAATAAACATTACATTTTCACCTTGATGAGCCAATAATAATATATAAGCTGCTGATATATTGTGCGACTCTGCTATCTTTACTTGATGTACTGGTCTGTTAATTACATGCTAGTCTGGTGCCACTTTCCACTTGACATGGCCAAGAACAGTTTATTATGACACTGTCACTATCACTGTTTTAGTATGACATGTAGGACATGTAGGGGCAGTCGGTTTTCAAAACAAGACTGTAACCAAAGCAAAGCCGTGGGAACCAAATGTGTCGGCAAACTCACAAGGATATCTGGCTTAAACTGCTTCAAAGAAAACTCAAACTTAAATAACTTTCAAAGACACAATGTCGTGAATATTACAAACCTTTTTTTTTCTTTGGTCAATCCAGTGACTGTCTCACTCTGAAAGGATTGCAAAACGGTCAACTGCTTACAGTCATGTGTTTCCCATCATACGGACACGACCTGCTGCACAGAAGTCACTCAGAATGAAACTGACAGCATCCTAACAAGGATTCTTAACAGCTTAACATGCAAAAGATATCAGGCACTCTGTCTACGTGTGGGTGGACCGAGACTAATTACATGCTTGTTTCTTGTTGCCAGTCGCATTTAGAAGAAAGGCTTCCATCTTTGACCAAAACATCTTGTTGGCCAGCAGAAGCCTATGTAATGTCTTGGAAAAGAATTCATGACAGAGTAGTGGCCGCAGTCTAAGTTCAGTCTATAACACTACTGGCAGGAGTTGACAGAAACTCTGCTTGCCGTAAAGCAAAAACACAGTGGTGAAAACTGCAACGACAAAACATGGTGACAAACACAAGAGTCAGCCTATATTTAGAGACGTCACTGTGCATGTGTGTGAGGGCAGTAGTGGTAGCAGTATTGTTGTCTGCCTCTTTGGCAGTTGTTGTGGGAATTTGAAAGGACAGCTTCTCCTCAAAGGCCTGCGGGAAGATACAGTTCATTTTAGGATACACATCAACGGGACATTCTCACATACTTTCACAACTACAAGTCTTGACATGTTGCTTTCTTTTTCCAGTGTGAGGGTGTTGGCTCAGTCAATATAACACCTTAGTATTATGTTAATAACGAAATGCTCTTTATCACATGTTGTGCCAATCCCTCCTGCTTTTATT